ATTATTCTTCATCAGGAATGCGCTATAATATGTTTGAGAAAGAGCAAACGTGTAAACGGCCAATGAAAAAGTTGTGTAGTGAAAGGAGTATGTGTCTACAGAACGCGTTCAAGAGCCATCATATTCACGTGCCTGTAATAAGTTTGGACTATCTTGCATGGTAAGTAATAAAATAGCCCTTCTTCAGCCAGCCTTTGGTAACAAAAAGTATCCTGTGTATTGGTGGCGAGTTGCTGAGATAGCACATCTTTTGTATTTCCGCCCGTTTGCAAATGCAGTTGCATTCTTCTCCTTCAGCTACCTCGATGCATTACAACACGCGGCATATCCCTGAATATTTCAGTCTCAATAGGCTGTGGGTCATGCATAGCGTGTCTTTTCGACAGCAGACAGAAATGACACCCGGTAGAAAATGTCTACTAAAGTAGTATGCATGATTTTCATCACGGACCCTATAAATACAAAGACACCTTACTGAAGGCAGATCTAGTAGCAGACCGTAACCTATCCAAAAGGAGGCAGGATAAGCTGTATGCTTCCTGGACCTTTTTGTTTTCGATGAACCGGCAGATGAAAAGGTAAGCGTAATGAAGTCATTGCGGACAGCTTTGCAATGAAGGCGGGGGGAGGGGATTAAGATCGGTCACCAACAGCGTTTGTTAATAGCAGGGAACCTGCGTATGCAAAACTTTGTATGGGATTGGCAGGGACGAAATATGCAATCCGACTCAGGAGAATGATTATAATTAACTACTTATTTTGTGAAAGTAGGAGGCCTCGGAAAAGTTCGCTCGCTTGTTTCAGGTTGCTGGCGTCGGAGCCAGTACCCTCATTATCAGGCAGTCCCGAAAATCTCAGCTGGGAATGAGCGCTAAAGCTTTAGCTTCTGTCACGAGACGGTCTAAGGTGGCATCACGAGCCTACTACATCCTCGAAACACGTTTCATTAGTCAGTTGGTATATTGGAACTGAAAGCATTATCCTTAATAATTTGGCGAAATAGTCATTTAAATTAAGCAGTTAAGCGTTGTCAAATAATATAGTTTGTAGTTTTCGGGGCTTTTTCCAGGGCTGAAATAGCATTTCGTTTTGGACGGAGATTCAAGCTGGATAAGGAAAGACGACTGTCGAGCACCGGAGCAACTTCTTTATTGTCCTCGTCCAATGGTGAGATTGAGACGACGGTTTAAAGGACGGCAACGAACACAACTCAAATTCTCAGTTTTCACAGCACCCATCTGGGTGCTCCCAAACGAAGCTGCGTGGTAACCCTCTTTTTACGGATTAAGACTGAGCAGTAGGCCATAAGAAAAGGAATGCGAATTCCGATATCTCCGCGATCAATTTATGCAAAAAGGATGTCCATATGTGTTTATAAACCGATGCCTACGCGTTTGGCCCTGATGAACCCAAATAGAAGAAACATCGGGTATATGGCACGCCCTGGTATACACCAAGGACGTCTAAGAAGCGACTGAGGTCATCGATACGGGACTCAGTATTGGAATTGCGCATCGAACCAAAGCTATCATGCGCAGCCGGGTTATAACATTAACAGACCCGCTGAACCCCAATGACCAATCCGCGGTAGTGTATCGCATCCCATGCCTAAGCTGTCCTCGTCACTACACAGACCAAATTAAACGTATGCTCGGATCGCGCATGCGTGACAATCTGCAGCTCACACCTATGAAACAGTCCATGAGTTTAACTTCGCGGCCACGCCGAAAGCAAGACGTACCGAGAATTGATTGAAGCATGGTCCTCGGACAGGAACTCGATCATCCGATGTTTCGAATTGGCGCCGGTGTACAAAGCCTTCCGAAGTCATGTTCAGTCACGTCCAGACCTCTGTCACTGACAGGTACTTAGCGCACATCCTTTTTAATTGCCCTCGATTTCGCTGCTGACACTTAGATGATTCTTGACATCACTGAGAGTTACTTAACGAATACTCTTATAATTGCTTCCTCCACCCCTCTCTTCCGTTTGCTTATTGTTTCTTACCCCTGAAGACGTCTCATAGTTGATTGGTATAAATGCACTATAAGCATCCCCCCGCGTTTTGTAGCTCTTTCTAGTCTCTGATGATGGACTCTTCTTAACGCTCGAACGTTCAGGACAATAACCGAGTTGCTCCGGTGCTCGAAAATCCTTCTTCATAATCCTTGCAAATACCTGCAACACGAACGTTTTCATTCATTCGTGAAAATGCAAGATTTTTAACACTAACCTTTTTATCGTGTACTCCTCTCTCTCTCTCTTGGTCATATAGCTGCATCCATAGCATCCCTATTAATACCCCTCCCGCATTACGTGCTGGACTATCCTCTGTTGCTTGGGTGCACTTGCATACTGCGTTCTTGTCCTTGAAACATTTAGTTTTTCTTTGAAAGCTCTACACTGGCCTTTTATTGATCCTATCTACCGCGGCAGTCCTCAGAACAAACCGGGTCCTTACGCCCTTCACTGACTGGCACAATACGATTCAACAAAAGCTTTGGATAAATCCACATAAACCTTGATGCATACACTGGCATATTGGCTTCAGGTGTCAGTTATGAAAACCGTTCTAAAATATGTCTCGCGGGTCCTCGACCGACCCCTACTAATGAGAAAGCTGAGTCTGTTTGAAGTTTATGCAATATAAACGAAGTTTTTTTGTTATTTCTCGTCATAACTTTGCCGTCCTTTGGATATTTTTATAGACCCCGACATCGCTCCGTCTTGCAAATTGTGCCATCCTCTAACAGGGCCCCGTGCCAAGAATAGCAGCCTTAAGAAGGAATTTGGGTCCAAAAATATCAGTCGTCACTTGGTGGTGTGGCAGAAGGACCTCGGTCGCGGTAATTACGGTCGAGTCTATTTAGCTACCTTCCGGAACACACAGGTGGCGGTGAAAGAGGCACTAGGACCGCAAACTACCAAGGAGAGCATCGATGAGGCCAAGCTGTTATCGCAACTGAGTCATCCAAGAATTCTGTGCCTACTGGGGATCTGCTGTGAACCCAACACCGAACCACTCCTCATCATAACGGAGTTTATGCCCAAGGGCTCCCTGCTAGATTTTCTGAAAACCGAGGAGGGCAAGGCCTTCAGTATTGACGATCTCATCAAAATACTTTCGCAGGTAGGTTTTCCGTTCCTTACAGTAGATTCTCTATCTCATTTCATGTTTTCGGTCAAAACTACTTCTTGTGTAGGGTTTCGTTATTGATTATTGTACAACTTTATCTTCTAGCTTGCTGGAAGCGAATGTAGTGGAAATCTTTGAAATCTACAGTCTAACTGTTATGGTAGGTATGGAAGGTTGCAAGCTAATGGTATTCACATTTACTGCGTATCTTGTGCAGGCACCACTTCTCATCTACAACTGCATCTGAATATGGTTTCCGATACAAATGGGAAACTTAGGAGGCATGAACATCGGTGTTTTTGAAGGTAGACGTGCATTTTGAAGGGCGTAATGGAACTTGCCTCGCCGCTTTAATATAGA